AATTATTTTAGCTAAAAGTGTTTAACAAAGTGAAATTGTAGATAATCAAACTAGTTTATATATTTCTATCTTTTAACCTAAATAAAAATTGTTCAACACTGATAGTGTATAATATGGGAAAAACTACCCCACTGTTTTCCTGTAACGCGAGAATGGCTTATTCTTTTAATTAAATTCTTTAACTTATTATAGTTGAGAATAATGACCGTTTTTTATTGACAAGTTTTATATTTAACAATATAATATAGAGTTTTTTTTTTGAAAATCCTGCCTAGCCCATATGTGGCTTGTCTCCCGTACAACGATAAATCATCAAACGCGGTGCCCGAAGCACAGACGGACACACGTTGGATGAATAACTTCCGGCCAACGCCCTTCTGCACGGGACGCGCTCATCGGCTGACTTTTTTTTACCTAACAAGCTAACCCCTGTTTATATTAAACGGTTCGGATAATAATGAATTATTATAAGCGACATGACCGCATATGGAATGAAGCATGTTTTTTTCCCTATAAAGATTTCTATATTTTAAACACTAACATTTGTATATCAAATCAATTCATTTAACCCAAACAATCATATTTAAAACAATCTATAAATATTAAAATAATATAATTATCACTAGAATATTCTAGACAATTGAAATTTAGAAAATTTGTAAAAGTAGTGCCCCTAAACCAGATGTGGACTTCCAAAGCTAAATTTTGACATTGGAGTTAATCTGTCACAGAAGTTTTGGTGGGTTTAATGGGTCGTACAGAGATCGAGTGGCCGAAGTAGATCCTAGAGTCTAGGTTAGCAAATTTATGCTCCGTCAATTTCAACGGTTTGCTTCGTTTGATTTTGATTTTTGTTATTTATTTTTTTTAATTGAATGGTATTCAGTTAAATAATAATACCAAATCGTATAAGTATTACTAGAAATTGAAAAAACATGTTGGCGGTTATCCTATCAACACATATTTATTATTTTCACCGTTATTTGAATATTTGTACTATTTGAGTTAAACTTATGTAGCGAGACTTGACGACTTACGATGTCTCGCTTTTCTTTTATTCTTGAAAACAATGTCTTATGAAGATAAACTGTGTGACCGAGTTTTATAGAATACTTTCTAAAAGTAGATTCAAACTAGTGTCCATGTGACGTACTTTTGGTGCAGTCTACACTTGATTGTTATATAATATGAATATGATAGTTTGTGTACCGAGTTAGCTTCCATGTAGAAACAGTATTTGTTAAAACTTTTCCCTCACAATCTATCTGAACTCTTCTCCATATTGTGATAAACAACGCATTTGATTATGGCGTTAATGCAAAAGTTTGCAGTGATTAGTTACCTAATTATGTTTAAATGTTAGATATATCTTTTATTTATTTATTGTGCCGGCATATGCTAATGTGTGAAATGAATTTACATTGTGCGCAAGTACTATTTGCACTTGACCGGGTTTTTTTAAATGAAATGTATCCAACGAAGACATTTGCTGATTATGCTTGACAAAAAACTTACAAGTACAGTTTTATTTTGTAGAAATGAAATTCTATGCCGTCCGATGGCTCTACTTTTGTTCATAAATAAGTCACTCCAATGATCATTCCATGTAATATATTTTTGTGTTTTATTGTATACACACATATTTTTTATTTAACTTTTAAAAACAGATTTTAAAGGTATAGTTTTGTCATCCGCCTCGAACATTGGCCATTGAATAAAACTAAAGTGCTAATTTATTTTTTAGGGCCTTGTAGGATTAAGAAATTTAATATAATGTTTCTTTTTACTTTGTTTCCAGTTTTGCGACTGTATAGTTGTTTTCACTCCACAACAAAGTAGATTATTAATTATAAATAGATTAAGTTCTTACTAAAGTACATTTCGTTTTATTGTACTCCGCGCTGTCATAACTCAAAGCCCGAAGGAATATTTTAACTTATAATTGGCAGTTTAATTTTATATTTATTTTCTGCATTTCACGCACCTCATTTTCCTTTTCGTGGATTTGTATATTTTTTTCTTCTACACTCGCTGCTTTATATAGTTAATTAATTCCGTTTTTATTAAAACAAAATTAGTGTTCCAATTTGATAGCTTTTCTTAATATATCAGTTGATATTTATTCCATAATAGAATGACTGAGAAAATGCAGTGTCCACATGTTCAATATAGATATAGTTTAAAAATTATTAGAATAAAAATTCTATAGACTAACATAGATAAGTACACTGTATGCATTACACTATGATGTGTGTGTGTGCAATGTATTATATAGTATTGTATACCACCTGCTATATCATTATAATGTGGTGTAAGTTATGTGTAGGGGCACAGGTTCAATAAGTTTCCGACGTATGTCTCGATCACGTGCAGCGTATGTCATTTACGTTAAACTTCCTCTAATTAAAGCCCCGATACCTAAACACTTTGTTATTATATTATGCCATTTAAATTTTAACTCACTCCTGTAGACACTTGCTGTAAAATATTGAAACAAAGAGCAAACGGTAAATGCTATTTGGCGTGCTTACACAATAAACGATTGCTATATAATCACAAAGCACTATCGTATCATTTCCTCGATATTGATCGAGGAACTGTGGTTTCTAATGGTTGATATCGATTCCGCCGCAAGTGTTAATCGTATATATTCTCTGTCGGAATACGCCATTATAGTTTGCAAGTTGGAAAATTAAATATCAAAAAAAAAAGGTCGAAAAACCTACACCTATTCGATTAACACAATGTTTCTCTTAGGGCGTACCAAACCAGGTTATACCTTGCCCATCATCCCAGCATAAGCGGACATTTTTTTTTATGGGAGGGAGGGTTTGGGTTTTTAATAACCTTATAACTTAACTTAAAATTACCTAGTGTTACATTTATTTTTATTTAAACAAATGTAAGCGTTTTGAAAAGCGCTAATTTTAAGTTTTAAGTTTTTTAGTATCTTAAACCCATCCCCCGTGCATCTCGGTACGATAAAAAGTGTACTTGGCGCCACAAATGGAATTATTAAAAATATATGAGTCACTATAGCGAGCTCGAAGCAGCGAGGCGCTATTATAAGCGTACCGACACGGCAACGAGTTTTACTTAGGTTTTGATTAAAATACATATACAAATGGAGAGACGTCTGTTGGGAATACACACCGTGAACTTTACATTTATTTTGATCATACACAACAAGTGCAGGCAGTATGCATAGACACTTGGCTTAGGGACGGAGAGGCATCGGTCCTGTCGGCGTAGGCAAAAAAAAAATAAAAAACGCCAAAGGCTGAGAGCAAACGCTTCCGATGGTATTCTTTTGGTTTTTATTTGCTCGCGCAGAGTGTATATAGTCATTTCCACTACCATCAGCGGTAGTGTTTTTTTTTTTTTGCCCGTATATAACAATATGCAGTTTTATTTGTTTTTTATGACGTTTGTTCATACCTATTCGTATGTACATATACGATTCGACTTCGTTTGCGCAGGGGCAACAAAATATTACCCTGTAACGAGAATTCAAAAAAGGCTTCCCCTCTTCCTCCACGGACTGCGGTCGAGGCATTCATATAATATATTATTGCCCCGTGGAACATACTATAACAACCGAAAACCGTGAATTAGCACCGCTGATATTACACGGTCAAATTATATCAAACGGTTAAATCGCGTTCTTAGGTAGCGAACAACAGAGACACATAAATCATCACGATTATAAAGCGAGCACGTTTGACCAAACATGTTGCGAACAATACAAATAAAATAAGTTTAATCGCAGTTCCACAAAAGCGGTGGAACCGTCGAATTAATTGTAATACATTTAATCGGTTATAAATATTGCCAAAGGACAAAAAAGTGCAATATTTTTTTGTATACCGCGTTTATTATATTTTTGATTTTAATGAACTATAGTTTGAAAATATTATATTTAATTAATCAAGCTATAAGTCAGATAACAGATTCAGTTTACTCTGAAGTTCATTTATTTTAAACTATCCTCAGTGGATAAAATCATTGATAAACATTAGATTCTTATCTAGTACTTGCTGATGCGCGATTGATTTTTTTAAGTTATCATTAACACAATACCACGTTTTTTCTTGTAACAGTTGATGACAAAAAGTACATATTGTGTATAACCATAGCATAAAATTATATAGTATAACCTCAAATATTAAATCTCGATAATTTAAAAAATAATTAAACACTATATTCTAAGATAAAACCAAACCATTCTAAATTCGATATGGTCCTTACAACTTGTTATGTTACAACATCCAATGAATGTGCTAGCCTCATCAATGATTGGCTTTATTGTACAATATTTACCTTCGACTTAAGTCTCAAGTAAGGTGATGAAAGTTAAAACTGTGTTATTATTTTTTAAATCGTCCTTTGTACAATACAATGTACAAATACAAGAACACGGCAGTCTTTTACGGCATTATCATGGCACTATGTCGAAACTGTTCTTTGAAAAAAAAAAAACTTTACTCGTGTAAAAGCCCCCTCTCCGACACGATATAAATAGCAACAAAAGACCCTTTCGTCGTCCGATTTTCTTTTGTTGCGTTTACACGCAAAACGACTATAGAGTAGTTTGAAAATACTAGAATGACACTATGCTGTGTGTAAAGAATAAAGATGAAAAAAACCGAAACAGACTGAAAAGACGTGTCCCTCTACCGAAACCTTTTAGGTTACGTGCAGAATAACCTATACATATTGTATGGGCTAAGATAGGTGAGCAGATGACAAAGAGGAAAATATGATGAGATTTACCTGTGTTTTCCCGGTGTTATTGTTAACTTTGACCATCGCGATCTTTAGTAGTCATGGTGATATCGATTCGTCTTATAGGCTCCCACGCATAAGCATGCACGCGCTTCTCAATAAAAACCGCCTGTTCATCTAGCGTTGACGCGCACCTGTGCTAAAGGGCGGGTTGATAATATTTTATACTTAGTATTTATTTTTGTTCTATAAATTTTTGTATGTTTTTTTTCCAGATCGCCAAGCGTCTGCTACCATGTCCCCGGGATTCGCGACCACCGGTTTTTCGTTTTTACCGTATCCCGTCGTCGGTGCTGGACACGACGGATGCGTCTGCATGCTGTACCGACAACGGTAATTATAACTGTCGTGAGTTGGATTAACGGCAGCAAACGACGCGGTGCACGTGATGCGAGGGTCCGTTGTTTTGGCGTTGTTGCTCGCCTGCCGACCGGAGTCCACGGGATCGTTCAGTTACCGTAAGTACACCACCCGGACTTTTACCCAAGTTTTCGAGTTAGAATGATTTCGCTAAGCCACAGGTATTCCACGTTGACTTCGACCGGCCAACTCAACACTTTAGAATTGGACGAAACTTCTCGTTTGCTTACCGATAATATTACTAATTAAACTTATCTACGTCTTAGCAATACTGCTACGGAAGCACAATCTGGATTGTGCGAGTGTGTCGATGTAAAGTCATGCTAAAGATTGATTGACTTTAGATTCATTATAATGAAAATTAGAATTTAATAAAATCCATTAGGGCTGCATACCGTGTTCAATGTAATATAAATTTAAAATAAAGCCCTTTTTCATTTGTCTTTTTTCAAATTATCTTTGTGCTGGTTTGTCACCGTACATTTTTTCAAAATACATTAAAATTTAACTATATTTCGAGCGTATAACAATTGATTATTTAATACTTTCTAACAACATATTTCTTGTTACGACAATGTACAGAACTCGTTGCACTGGACAGAGTTTATTGCGCTACTATTCATGGATAGGAACGAGATAATAATATAAGTAATCTCAAATTACAAGGTAAATCAATTAAAATAGGCTTACTAAGTTCATAGAATCGATCAATGACGCATAAAACAAGTATTAAGTAACAGACGAGACATCAAAATTAATTTTTACATCGAACTTAACTAACAATTTTAAATTTTTTATTCAAAATAACAGCGTGGGGCTTTTGTTTGAAGGCTTTAAGTATTTATTTTCTACATTTCATAGGAAAACACTATAGTACACAATTTTAGAAGCTTTATTACAAACGTAACACTTATAGAAATACATTTGTTCGATTATAATAAAAACAAATATAAACTGCACAATTTTATAAAGCTTGGCAAAAGGAAAAGCTTCTGAAAGTTCAGTGCCTTAAATATTAAAACTACGATGCTATTGAAATGGTAACGGGAATGAGTGCATAATTTCGCTTTCATAGTATATCGCTATATTTTCATTCAAACAGCCCCTCTCACAAATGATTACAAACTAAAGTCAAAGACGTGGTCTGCAAACAAGGTAGAACAGAAGAATTACATTGCGTAGTTTGAACACATATATATTTATACACTATCTGTGTAAACCGGAAATATGATGGTTTCAACATCATCTGACAACTTTTGTTCAGTGAACTGACAATGAGATGACAAAAATCGATAAGTTTGTTATGTGTATTGTTAATATACCAACAAAAGGTAAACCTTCCTATCGACATTTATGTCGGTCAGAAACGAAAAAGCGTAGGCAAGATTGTGACCTAAAATTTGCTATAATTTTGGCATTTACCGTTGTATGCATAATGTTATTTGATAAGTCTCAACGTGTGCAATATATCATGATGTTTTCTCGTACATTCGCTTTGACCTGCTAAGTGAATTTTTTTGCGCTAAATAAAATTCTGTATAATACAGCATTTGGTTAGGCGAATTTGTCAGGTGCCACTAGAATGGCGTTTTCTCTGGAACAGAATGCATAATAAAAAGGTGCTATAGAAATGCATTCAATGACATGTTTTGTATGCACTCGAGACGTGTCGGCCCTGTCGCCAACTGCATTTCCGCTTGAAATGCACTGGTGAGATTGGCAACAAAATGCGTTTAAAGCTACGAGCGTGGAGAGTAAGAAAAATATTATTGTATAAAACCCCGCCTTATATCGATTGCCTATTTTACCGTTTTCTCTGAATTTGACAGCAACACCGCCGTCTGTTCATATATTTGCAGCTCTTGTCGAATTCAATAGTTCCCACCTCCCTGTGCTGCTATACAGACCTTTCAGTAGCTACATTTCGTTTTGGTTGTTCTTTTTTTTTCATACACTAACGTTGGGCAGACTTTGAAGGGTGTTTGAAAAATTACTCACAGCAAGTGTTCTTTCTCGCGCTTTTCGCAAACCCGTCGAATCAGTCGTATTCTTTACTCCATTTATTTCTATTTTGACTAAATCGTCAAGACTTTGCAATAGGTCGTTCTTAACCGAGTTTATAGAAAATTCTGTTGAACTTAAAACGCTTTGACTTTGAATTTAACACATGTGGCGCATAGCTGGGCAGTTGCTTTGCATTGATGTAAGTTCACTAATTGAAAATTTGAGTGAATAAAAAAATGCCGTCAATAGACAATATATGCTTAGAATTATTTTTAATTTACACAAGTGCGTAAATTATTTTGCATAGCGGTGGGTTAGGTTAGGTTAGGCATATAAAATAACGTTTAAAACAAAGTAAACATAGGAAAATGAATAGTAAAAATATTGGCCTATGACTGTTTTTATTAAATGATAAGATTTTTCTCATTAGTCATTACATAATAAACCAACTATTACACATGATTGTAATTTCACCGATTTTCCTTTGCTCGTCTATTTTATATCATTACCTTAAACGATAACTCTACAACTAAGTCTTAATAAGCAAACCTCGCTTTTTGTAAATGTTGACAAATTAACTAATTTTCCGTACGGCTCAGCTTTTATTTTTTAACGAAACTCTTTATCATTTCATTCAATGTTTTTTTATTGAGAGCGTCATTTTTCTTGGACAGCATGTCCTGTGTTTTTATTTTTATGCTTAAAGTAAATTAACTCTTCCAAAAATTGACATTTACCCTTTTAGACGCAACGTCTTAAGGCACGCTTCGTGAATTGAAAAGTTCTTTTATTATATTGTGGGATCTATTTTCCACAAAATTATCCCCGAGCCCCGATTGAATACTAACAACAGTGCAATGGTTTTTTCAACTAATAATCCCTGCTGGTTTAACGCGCAGTGCAATGTGCTCAGAAGTATATTTCCGATCCGAGATTACTCCGCTCCTCTCGCCCGATCCCTAACACAGGCATCCCTCGGACATCACTCAACGGGACATCTGGGACCTTGCAACGGATGAATGGATGCACAGTAGTAATGATTTCGTCCGAAGAACCCGCCGCCGGGTCTGATTGCGCCGTTTGTCCGTGGCAAAGCCTTTCGGTAATTAAATATTTGTCCACGCGCTCGATCAGATCCTTTGGAAATAATTCCTTTTACCCTTCCCGCCGCCATTCTATCGCCGCACGGTCCCGTGTTGTTGTAAGTCTCCTTTGCACTTCCCGTATAATTGCATCCTGACGGCCAAATGTAATTACCGTTTCCAGAAGCCGCCAGAGTACTTTGGCCTCGGCTATGTATAATAATAATATATATCTAGAAATTTGAACGGGCACCGATTTTTCAACAGTCGACCCCGACGTCGTCGTTCCATTACCGCGGTAATAATAAAAAAAAAAAACATACAGTATCTTAATAAGGAAAAAAAAATAAGCTTTTAAAAAAATTGTCGGAAAGGCTTTTAATTTTTTCCCCTCCGGTTTTTCTCCTTTATTATGTTTTATTGGTATTGCTCGGCGCGACGGTATCGTTACTTGTCGCTCGGCAAGACCCTTTCTCCCGCTATTCCTTTTTGAGCATCGCTAATCATTTTACTACCGGAGGATAATATTAAAAACTATATATATATATACATATTATATAGAAAAAGTGTTTGGCGAACTTTTCAAAAAGTACTCTACGTACAAAAAGTCTAAGAGCTTTAATGACCGGCGACGTGAATAGCATACAATAACGCCACGTAAAAGTGGCAGTGTGAACCGTTTCCAAAGTGATGGAAATTTAATTGCAATAATATTATATAACTTATGTCCGTCTGTACGACTGTACCGTTTAAAAGTTATGGACGGTGCCACGAGAGAACGTTTTCATTTGCCCACAATCGGCAGCGGTAGCGGTTTCACCCTTTCGGCCTACCGTTCATCGTAAAATCTTCTTTTAAAAACAAAAATACATAAAGCAGAATAAATTAAAAATATTAAATACGAAACAAATTGTTTGGCTAATTAAGAGTTATAACTTATATTTGAAATAAAAATTAGATAGGTGAACGCATTTGTCGTTGCTGAACATATTTTTTTTTCAACATAAAATGTTAGAATGTAGTTTAAGAGAATCTAGAAAAAATAGGAGGTTAGCTTTTTAAAGTTTAAAGCTTTAAAAAAATATTAACCCACATATTTGGTGTGCAAATATAACGATTAGTCTAATTCTCGAGTTATGTTAAAGATTAAAGTGGGTCGAGAGGTAAATTTCAATCAGTAATGTTATTATTATTCGCACGAACCACTCGCCCACACTTTCCTCATTAGCAATAATTTGAGTCTTGAAATCCTAATAACTTAATAACAGTGTTGGTACAAAATTAGTTATCATCTAGTTGACATAATTTTTGTTTAAACAAGTCAATTATAAATGAATATGCGGAATTCATTTTTAACGTTTTTAACTATTAACCAATTATTATCTACTTGGAAAAAACTAATTTTTAAAATCGTCTTAGCTATCGTCAATTTTGTCAAAAGTGTAGTTACGCGGTATTGCTGTTTAGCTAACGATGTACAATATATAATATATAATAATAATAATATTGTATTTAACACTGACAACGCGATGTTGTGTCCACCATTTTATCGAAACTCCACACGAATATATAATATTTTTATCATTGATCTATATCATTGTGTATTGGCGTGCGGCCAGCGGTCACTTTATTTACGTTGACCTCGCTGTTGTGCTGGCGATATACTCGTTGGACATTTTATGTATAATAATGATATTCAGCAAACTTTCGAGTTTGGAAGATAAAATTTAAAAAACGTGAAAAATCTGTATACAAAATACACACTGGCGGCGGTGCTGAATAACGACTTGCGAAATTGTTATCCATATTTATTTAACGCTATAAACTTGGCCCATTCTTCATGCGTAATGAGACCACAAAGCCTCTTCAAAGGACCTCCTCCTCGTCCGGTCACTCTCCTCGCTGTGTTTAGTTGTAATAATATATTTCGTTTTGTATTATTAAAGGCGTTTACCCGGGCTATTTTGAACGAATAAAAAACACATTATAATAATGTTGTCGTCGTCCTCGTA